GGGTGAGGGGGGGGGGGAAGAGGTATCAGAATACTCTTAATTGAGTAGTGTTTCTTAAATTCCATGCAAAGTACATTTCTCCTTACTAACATATACAAAAGCCCTAGCCTTGTAATCTTGCATTATACATGCTAAACTACATGTCCCTTTTATTGGTGTATGTTGGGGGGAGTTTGAATTAAGAATATTAGCTGTACATCCTTACACTGAGGGAAATAAAGTTCATCATAAATGCCAACTTATTTATCTTCCTTTAGGAAACGCACATTATCCACACCTTCAAAGAAGACTTTTATGGAGAAATTCTTAGTATAGTCATAATTGGATATATTCGACCAGAAAAAAACTTTGATTCCTTAGGTCAGTATTGCAGGTCTGCCTCAAACTAGTCTCTCATTTGTCTTACTCATGCAAGTACTGTGTCTTCACCATATCTCTTCCATAATGAGAAGTTTTATCTATTAACCTTTGAAATGTCAGTAAAATGTTTTCATAAGCTAAATGTACAAGTTGGTTTGGAAGATATAGGGGTATGTTTTGATAGCACCCTAAAAAAGCAGAGATATGTTTTGGTATCGCCCTAAAAAATTGTATTGTCACTTCTCTGAGGAATAATTTTGAAATCGTGGGCTTGTCATAAAAATGTCAGCCTAGTCTGTTAATTTCTTTTTAAAATGCAACTCTGTTAGAATTGAAATAGTACCTGAAACTCTGTTGATCTTTTGCTAAAATGTCTTTTGGAACAAGGAGAGAGTAGTGCTTGTAACACTGAAAAATGCAACTTTGGCATGTTTAAAAAAAAAAAAGACATTTTAAACCCAAAGAATTTTGCCTTTCAAACCTTGTGATAATAATTGTATTCTACTTCTGTGATTGTTGTCTGGTATTCTGTGGTACACCTTATTTTCACTTGCTATTGTATGTTCAGAATTCAAAACAACTTTTAAATATCCCTACTATCTTTTTCAGAGGCACTCATTTCAGCAATTCAGGAAGACATTGAAGAAGCAAAAAGACAGCTAGATTTACCAGAACATCTTAAACTCAAAGAAGATAACTTCTTTCATCTGCCAGAAGGCAAAATAGTAAACAACCACTGAGCAAATCCCTGCTGCTTTTTTCTTTTTTTTTTCTCCTGCCCTGTTAATGGAGCTTTTGTATTTGCACTGCTTTTATAGGTACTTTGTTGTCATATGTCTGTCTCTTTAGGTGACTGAGGTTGGAACCAACCATACAAGATTATTTCAGCTTCCTTGTGTTAATTCTCCATTAGCCAGTCATACAAAAGGCGTAGAAGGCTGGTTTAGGTCCTTGCAGCTAAATTGCGTTACTGGTTTTTCAGAGATCTGAGCACAAGTGCACATCACCAAAGTTAATCGTGACCTCTTCTGAGCCTAAGGTGTGCATAGCTCACTTAAGTCAAGAATGTCTGTTTTTAACTTACAGAATGTTATTCCAACCTCTTCCCAGTTTTATGTCATTCTTGCATCTGGATTTTAGCAAGTGGCTTACAAAATTTTGCTACTGATTGAGTCAGAAATTTCCTGTGGTGCAGGAAGCCAATCATTAGATAGCAATAGCAAGATTAATTCCCTATAGTTCTTATTTTTATATGCTACTCAGCTGTCATGGTTGAAGCTGTTATTTTAATTGAGATTATTTATTTTAAGTTTATTTGAAGTGGAGGAAACACTGTTGCTCACTGAGTTACTGGAATCCAGGATGTACTTCTTCATAGTTGACTGTGCGTATGACAACATGTGACCTGTGTAGTTTACTTCTGAGGAAGTGTTTCATTGAAATTCAGGAAATGAATGACAGTGTGAAAGTTGATAGACTTTAAAGGTTCAGGCACAAAAGATCCAGAGTCATTAAAACAAGACTTCTGCTCATTGGGCCTTAAGGCAAAAGAGGTGATGAATGGCAATTTTGTATTTTGTGTGCTGATGGCATTTGTTCTGGGAAAATGGGGAGAACCTTGGGGATATTCACTGCACTGACAATAAAGTTGCTGACTCCAAGATTGACATTGTAAGGCACAGAAAGATCTCATCAGCTCTGCACCAAGTGCAGGTAGGAGCCAAGGTTTTTGGCTGATCAAGTAGACCAATACGTAAATTAAAGTCTTTGGGGATTCATGGAATAATATATCAACACTATAGTGGGTATTGGTTATTTATTACAAGTAATTGCAGCCATTCCTACTCTGAAATGTAGGAATAGGTAAATGCAGGGTGTATTGTCAAAGTAGACAAAATACAGAGTATACTTCTTAAAGTATGTAATATGTGATTCCAACTTTTTTTTTTTTTCTGATGAATTTTTCTATCCCCTACTCAGTGAGTGGAACTAGTTAAGCTGCAGTGACTTTGTCATGTTCATAATTTTTGACGTCAGCTTGTGATGTGGCTGGAACATTTTCTGAAACTGAAAATGGTTCTGCAGATATGTCTCAACTGTAATTCTGTGTCTGAACTACCATGTACAATTTGGAATGCACAATTTCTGTAGTGCAATTGTATGAATTTACTCCTTGTCCTATCCTATTCAAATCCTACTTTTCAGTCTAGGGTTTAAGAGAGTTTTAACAAGGTAGCTGTTTGGGTGTTTGTGGCAGGTACTGTCAGGATGGTAGTTCTGCTTCATATTGTTTTAAGTTTCAGCCAGTGTCATGGGATATTATTAAGGAAGAGGTCTTGAGCAAATCAAGGACTCGTGTTTGCTCTGTAGGTCTTCAGGATAAACTTCATTTCATTTAAGTGAATTGTTCACCAGTGCTGTGGATAGCAGAGACAGGTGGTATACAGAATTGGGGGGAGGAGGAGGGACAGTTATCACCAGTTAGATACACTTTCTTTTAAAGGAGAACAAAATAATTTAGTGGACTTTTACTATATAACATGTTGGAAACTGTATTTCTAAAAAGTCTGTAAAAGAATTATCTTGAGAGAGTGACAGTTGGATTTTATTTTTTTTACATTTTAAACTGGAGGGATGAAGGGAGAATTTTTTTTTTTGCAAAGATTTGAGGCATTCTTGACATTGTAATACTACTTTTTTTTTTTTAAGAATAACCAAAAGCCACACTAGTCAACTGAATATATTGTCAAGATTATATTTAAAGAATAGGTTGTTGTTCATCAAGGTACTGTAGCTAAACACTCATAGCCTTCTTTAAAATTGTTTGGGGATTTTTTTTGCCTGTAGTTTCATCTGTCTGTAGAAACCATTGTGCCTTAAGCCGGTTGTCTGAATAATGCTTTTCTGTATCTGCTAGTAAATGTTGCTATTGAAAATTCAATTCACTGTTTGGTTGTAGAACCACTCTGTTATCAGTAGAGAACAGTGGCAAAAGGAAAACTTGAAAAACTGTTAGTTTGCTCTCAAATCTTAGCTGAGGTGTGATGTGTGTGTTTGTCTTCAATTAGAGAAAATGTTGTTACATTCATTTAGCTGAGTGTACCTCCCCACATTATTTAAGAGAAAATGTTATATGTCAACTGTTTAAGCTCAATACATAATTCCTAGCACAGTATAAACTTTATGAAGGATTATATTTTTGTATTATGTACAAGTAGCTGTTTCAGTTGGTGTTGCTGCCCTGTACCATTAATAAAGGAACTGTAATTGACAAAGTTATCTTTCTTGTGGCAGGCTTCCTTTCCTTTGCCATGCCTAGCAAAGTTAATTGTCTCAGTTTTATGCAAAGCTTTGTCAGGGTGACTGCCTACAAAGCTAGACTGACAGGAGAAAGTAAGTGAGGTGTTGTTAAGCCTTCCTAGTGTGTCTGAAAGCTGGCCCTACTCTGGGGACTTTTGTGCTTTAGTCAGAACTTGGAGGAGCTACAGCCTTAGAATTCACAGCCTGAAACCTGTGAATCGATTTGTCTATATGCTTTCTTTCAAAATTTTTTAATACTTCTTGTTTCTTTTAGGATTCAGATGGAAGAAGCTGCATTCTTCTCCTATGTTCTGCTTCAACTGTTAAACATTCATCTAGGTCAGGGCAAAGATTCATCTGCTGCTGCATGTTGTGGTTTAGCCTGTCAGGTAGCTGAACACCACACAGCCATTCGCTTATGACCCCTGCTACAGTGGGATGGGGGAGAGAATGGGGGGGGAGAAGGAAATAAAATTCATGGCTTGAGGTAAAGACAGTTTAATGGGACAGAAAAGGAAGGGAAAATAATAATAATGATAAAAGAATTTACAAAACAAGGGATCCACAGTGCAGTTGCTTGCCACTCATCGACTGATGCCCAGCCTGTTCCTGAGCAGCAGTTACTGCCTCCCAGCCAACTGCCCCCCATTTTATATACTGAGCATGATGTCATATGGTATGGAATACCCGCTTTGGCCCGTTGGGGTCAGCTGTCCTGGCTTGTGCCCTCTGGCAGCTTCTCACTGGCAGAGCATGAGAAGCTGTAAAATGCTTGGCTGGTGTCAGCACTACTTAGCAAAAACTAAAACATCAGTGTGTTATCAACATTATTCTCATACTAAATCCAAAACCACAGCGCTATGACAGCTACCAGGAAGAAAGCCAACACCAGGACAGTATCTACCTCTTATTCTGTACTATCTATGTCATACCCAGGTCCCATCCTTCCCAATATATCCCAATTAATCATCACCACTTTTTCTGTCTTTTGATATATATATATGCACACAGATATCATTCCCGTAGTCTATGGGCCATCCCTCTAAAATGTCTGTTGGGTTCATTTAGCCCATGACTTTGGGCTCCATCTGTCATAACGGTCCGCCAGTGCAGGAGAGGTGGTGTGAGCTGTTGGATTGTTGCATGCTAAAGCTGGTTCTGTTTCCATCACTGCTGCACTTTCATCAAAGTTCATTCTTCATTAATCTGGGCGATTCTTACTGTAATACTGTTGATATAGCATATAGCAACCACAGAAGTGGTGACGTACAGTATTATATAGGAATTAACATAGTACAATTCAAATTTGGCTGTTCTCACACAAAATCAAATCACCTTGAGGTAGACATCAGACTTCCTCATCCTTTCACATCACCCACCAAGTGCACCCCGGTTCTTGAGCAAAAGCAATCCCATGGGTGGGTTTGCCTTTGTCCGAGGCAGGAGTAACCCAGACTGTCTTCCCCAGCATGTTTTTTATGTGCACTACAGGGACTTTATCCCCCTCTACGGTACGTAAGAGGTTTGATTGGGCAGAGCCGGCTCAATTGGCAGATCCCCTAGTGCTGACTAACCAGGTGGCCTTTGCTAAATGTGTATCCCAGTGTTTGTCCTGCCACCCATTGCTTTCAGTGCAGTCTTTAATAGTCCATTGTATTATTCCATTTTTCCTGGAGGCTGGTACATGATAGGGGATGTGATATACCTACTCAGTGCTATGCTCTTTGGTGCAGCTGTCTAGGAGGTTTTTTCAGAAATGAGTCCCATTGTCTGACTCAATTCCTTCTGGGGTGCCATGTCACCATTGGACGTGCTATTCAAGGCCCAGGACAGTGTTCCCAGTGGTAGCATGGTACAGTGGTGGCACAGGGTGTTTCCAGACATCCAGTTGTTGCTTCCACCATGGTGAGCACATGGTGCTTGCCTTGGGGGGGTTTGTGGGAGTGTGATATAATCAATCTGCCAGGCCTCACCATATTTATCTTTCAGCCATTGTCCTCCGTACCACAGAGGCTTTAACCACTTGGCTTGCTTGATCGCAGTACATGTTTTGCATTCATGGATAACCTGTGCAATAGCATCCATGGTCAAGTCCACCCCTCGATCATGAGCCCACCTATATGTTGCATTTCTTCCTTGATGGCCTGAGGTGTCATAGGCCCACTGGGTTATAAAAAAGTCACCCTTCTGTTGCCAGTCCAGATCCACTTGAGCCACTCCAGCGAATCTTGCTGATTGCTCCTTGGCTCTCCAGTCAATGGATCAGCTTATGGAGGCCTTTATATAACCTCTGCCTAGCATCACTGAAGCTACATCAAGCAGAATGTAACGCATTGTGGTGGTTTAGGTGGTAAGGGTTGCTTTTTTATGTCACATGTGGTGGACTCTTCAGTGTAGGCTGGTATCTGTCAGAAATCACGCTTTTAACAACAGAATGCCCAGGCCGGAGGTAGGGATTTAAGAGGGAGAAATCCTCAAGCCCTGTGTTGTTTAGGGCTTTTCTTTAACACTCAACACTATAATTTCCAAGCATGGAGATTTCTACTAGTTTTCTTCTGGAATTAAAAGAAAAATTAAAAATACCAGAATGCCTTCAAACGTCTTTTGAAATGAATATGCTTCATATAGAGGTATCATCCTTTTTCCAGACATGCTTGTATTTTCTGAAGGAAGAAGAAAGGTGTAAAAAAACCCCTAATAAGCAGAAGGCTGTTCTTTTTAGTGTGATGATTGGAAAAATCACATTATCTGCTCTTCCAGAGGAACATTTGGGTAGATTTGTGGCCTCTTTTGGTTTTTAAATTGGCTGGAGCTTTAAAACATTGCTAACAATGGCATTTATTATGCACTTAAGTGCATAACTGAAGGTAGTGATCTCTGTCTTGACCTGTAATGATTGGGAACTAATTTTGGTTTCTTCTTTGTGTCTCATAATAGCCAAGTGCTTAGTGTTCTTTCACTTGTTCTTAAGTTTGCAGTTGGTTTGCTTCTTCCACAGTGCTAAAATTCATAAGTGAAAGAGGAAGGCACAATTTAGTGCAATCAATTAATACAGTAAGGTATTTATTTGGCATTTTTGTTTCCTAATGATGAGAACCTAAGTGAGGGAATTAGTTTTTTGCATAAGGACCAGGAAAGAAAAGAAAATTTGGAATTGAAGATCATGCTAAGAGACAAGAAAGAGAAGAAAGGATACAGCAAAATAACTGGATGGGGATTTTGGTCACAGGGCATGCACAGAGCAAGGGTGGAGGAGCTCAAGAAGACCAATTTAACCTAATGGTTGTTATGTAAGTGTAGAACCTGAACTCATGAAAAAGATAAGTTTTTATCTAGATGCTGAATAGATAATATAAATGAGGAACAATAAAAGAGCATTTATTTCCCTTGTTAGTACTCAGCTTAATGTGTAATATAAATCTACACAGACATGCAAAGAAAAAGTAGGTTGGTTAAGGAGGTCTGTCTCCTGCTTAAGCCTATTCTGAAAAGGGACAATGGAAAAAAAATATAATTGCTGCCTACTTTATAACATTATATACTTTCCTAGGTAAAAATCTTCTGTTGTGTTCACAATTAATGAAATCTTGAGCGATTTAAAATCAGCTTTTAGGCATGTATTAGGCCTAAATAATAAACTCCCTAAATAGTTCTGAGCAGTAGAAAACAACCAACAAATGTAGGAACATGTGGTACTTACCTGGAAAGAGAGCAGAAATTGCATGTGCATACGATGTCTACAATTAATTTTGGATCTTAATATCTATAAATTTATCTAGTTCATTGCAAATATGTACGTCCAACCAGAATCTTCAGTCATCTGTTGTTTGATTGCAGAACTGATAGCTTATGTATCCACCTGTATGTTCTTGAAAAGGTAATACTGTTATTATGACATTTTTTATTAAATTGATTCAGCACTTGAAATGTGCTTTTAAACCCTAATTCCTAATCTTTGGTATTGCCATATACCTACTAAGTAGAAAAAAAAATGAGTTGGATTGAAAAAAACTTCTTAGTCTTCCTATTCAGAAGTCCTTCTGAACTCTCAGAATATCAGTCTGTTCCTCATCAGGTTGCATGTTTGGTTATTCCTTAAGATTCAGGCTTGAAACCACACTTGTGGTTTCTTCAGGTTAAGGGTAGGTGGAAAATCTATGGTTAACACAGCTCTATTCTGCTGAAAGAAATGTACCTTTCCTTCTCTCCCTTCCCCATATATGTAATGCAAATATATATTCCTCTTGAAATACCTGTGATTTGTCATGAGAAAACCAAATGTCTCAAAATACATTTGACATGCTTCTGTGGTAACTTGAATCATAGAATCATAGAATGTTTTGGGTTGGAAGGGACCCCTAGAGGTCATCTAGCCCAACCCCCCTGCAGTGAGCAAGGACACCACTAACTAGATCAGGTTGCTCAGAACCCCGTCCAACCTGGCCTTGAATGTTTCCAGGGATGGGGCCTCCACTACCTCTCTGGGCAACCTGTTCCAGTGTTTCACCACCCTCATTGTAAAGAATTTCTTCCTTATATCCAGTCTAAACCTACCCTGGTTTAGTTTAAAACCATTACCCCTTGTCCTGTCACAGCTGGCCCTACTAAAAAGATTTTCCCCGTCTTTCCTATAGGCCCCCTTTAAGTACTGAAAGGCCGCAATCAGGTCTCCCCGCAGCCTTCTCTTCTCCAGGCTGAACAAGCCCAACTCTCTCAGCCTGTCCTCATAGGAGAGGTGCTCCAGC